CCACCACCACCACCAGCAAGTGATCCCATAGTCCAGAGGGTGGATCTCCTAGAGACGAGCTTCGTGGGATTCTCTTCCAGCCTCGACCGAAATACCGATATCCTCGAACTTTTGGCACGACGCCAGGGCATCCTCCCAGATGATGGAGAGGGTCCTTCCACCGGAAAGAGGTAGCCGACGAGTGAGACATGTGGCAGAGCCGAATCCTTTCGCCCCACTTCTCCACTTGTAACCCATAACTTTTTTTTGTTTTTTTATTTTTCTTCATTTTTTGTGTGTGTGTGTGACATAAACTACTACTATAGTATTGTGTTTGTAATAACCTTGCCTCGAGCGAGTCGTATTGTGTTTGTGTGTGTGTTTTTTGTCTCTCCTTTAAGCTCAAATTATCCTACCCTGGTTCGATTCCAACCTTCACTCACAATCCCAAGTGGTAACATCATTCTACCCCTTTCTAACGCCATTGAGGGCAATATCGAGTTTAAGTGTGTGTGTGTGGGGGGGGTGTAGTTTATTATTATGCTTGTGTGAGTGTGATTGATGGTTGGAGCCTTGATGATATATGCCCAAATTTCAAAATTTTGAGGGCTCCAAGCAATGTTTGCATGATCAAAGTGGCCAGTGTGTGGGAAATTATCATGTTTATTAGCATTGATCTTGAATTGTTGCATGTGATCGAGTATATCCTATGACGATGATTGAGAGGTTCATTAGGATAGTGCAAAAGTTTAGTTCTCATGTGTGCATAAATTAATGGATGTCTTTACTCGATTACTTGTTGATTACAATGACCATGCATCGTGTTTGTGAATTGGAATAGATGGCTGGGTGACTAGGTAGCCATGTGAGCTTTGAGTCGATCGTTTTCTTCTTCTGTGCTTAGATCCCTCTTACCATGACGAGTAGCATCATAGTGGTCACTAGTGAGTATGATGGAGGCATAGGATTAGTCCACCCCCCATAAAAAGAAAAGAAAAAGAAAGAGAAAAAGAAAAAGAAAAGAAAAGAAAAGAAAAGAGAAACGAAATAGAGGTAATAAAATGGGGTAAATAAAGTAGAGAGTGCCACAAAAAACTAAAGTACATGCTCTAGGAGGGGCTTCTTGGCACTCAAGCCATTGAAACCCCCACATTGTCTAGAACTCCTTCACTACCAAACCTTAATATGCTAGCAACAGTTGACTGAGGAAAAGTGCTTTGAGGTAGTTCACGATGAGTGATAGTTTTGAAGGGAGAGGTACGGTTTTTGGCCGATGCTAGTGGTCTTTGATTGAGGAGAAGGGTTTAAGTCGGAACCATAGAACCTTCGGATCTAGGTTGAAGATGTAGAACCTCATGTCATGATTGCCACCACACAAAAAGCCTTTTCCCCATGTCCAAGACAACTGCCAGTCATCTCAACCCGCGTCCAAGACCTCCGGGCAAGCTAGTGGTGACAACCATCCCGTGAACTCTAGCATTTAGAGGTTACCGCCATGGTATTGAGACGATAGGGCCGAGTGTTGAGGATTGTGCACATCTTTTGCACCAAAAAGGTCTTGACCCCCACTGGTCTTGAGAAGTGAGTGATTCATTTTTGTTTTGCATGCCATATCATACCCCGGTGAGGACTTTTGTTGCCTTTCCATTTGTTCCTCGGACTTGAATTCCATGCATGGTTGATTGTGTTTGATAAGTGGTCTTGTTGAGTCTTGCATTGATCCATGAACAAGGTGAGAACTTTTCGTTTGCCCGTTTTTGGTGGATTGGAATGTCGTTTGTGGTGGATGTTGGTATTGCTTGCAACGATCCATGTGTTAATTAGCAATAGCCATTGAGAATTCCCACTTTGTGCCCTTTGAGTTGTCCCCAAAGTATTGGTGTAGGTTAAAATATTACCTTGTGTGAAATGGTTTGCTTGGGGACAAGCAAACGTCTAAGTGTGAGGGAGTGATTCGAGCCTAATTGTACATGTTTTGCCCCTGTTTTCCTTAGTCGTTTGTGGCAATTGTGCTCCTAAAAGGGTGATTTTACGCTAAGTTTCTCGTGTTTTAGCGTGTTTCGGGATTTAACAGGTGAAACTAGCCCCGGAGTCAAAAGTTGAACGAAAAATAGCGAAAACCGGGAGAAGAGGTGAAAAATGGTGAGTTCACGGTTTTCCTTGGATGTTCATGGTCTTGTATGACCATGAAGAAGAGCCATTGGCCGTGAACCTTGAGGCGTCCAGGGCAGAATGCTAGTTACTGATGCTAATTGAGTTCATGGTCGCTAAGATCGTGAACAAGAGTTGTTGGCCGTGAACCCGTGGAAGCAAAGCGGTGCGTTTCGGCGCCCATCTTCAGTTCACGGACGCGTTTAAGAGTTCACGACCGTGAACTAAGATCGATCACTGTTTAAAAGCTGAGCTGAAAGGAAGAGAAAGGGGGAGCCCATTGTGTGAGAAAGCCTTCTTCAGATTTTTAGAGAGAGAAAGACAAACAAAAGGAGAAGGAGGGTAGGGTTTTGCTCCAAGGTGGGATTTGGGAAGGTTCTCCCCAAGAGAAGTCCAGCACAAGTGTCTAGAAGATTGGAAGCCTCCCTCAAGATGGTGTCTACCTCTTCTCCTTGTGTTTCTCCCATTTCTAGCATGGAGTAGATTTCTTTTCACTTGGGTTTTGTGAAACCCTAACTAGCTACCATGTAGTTTCTTTTATGTGAATTGAATGATTGTCATTGGGTATTGTTTAATTCAATGATTGAGGTATTATTCATCTTGATTGTGCATGTTGGTGCTTAGCAACCTAAGGATTGTGCATAATTGTGCTTAGCATCCTTAGGTTTGTGCATGTTGGTGCTTAGCAATCTAATTAGCCACTTTAACCTAGATTAGAGAGGAAAATCCCCCTTCCAAGGGAGACTCAATCGAGTTGGTTTACCTTTAGCTTTTTAAGTCACCTAACTAGGTTAATTTAGGGAAAACCTCAATGTTGAATTAAGCAAATTGGTTAAGCGCGATTAAGCCATCCAACCCTTGAGTTGAGTGAGGGAGTAAATCAACCACCGATTGCCTAAATTGAAAGGGCCGAGTGACACAGCCTATAATGTATACCTCGGTTTAGCAATAGAGAGGGTGGTCTACGACCATATTTGCATTCCACTGCGGTTCGCGGTTACCTTGCCCATAAAAATCGTTCCAATTCACATACCATGGTAGTAGTTAGGGGGAAGCGACACCCGAGTGATCCTTCTCACAAAGAGCTTTCAAAAACATTTACCTTTGCCTTATTTTATTTTAATTAGCGAACTTTTCAACCAAAACTTTATTACTAGATAATGATTCAAATGACTGAAGTAGGGGTACACGGACCGGCCCAGGTTGATATTTAAACATACTTATCCTGTACAACACCCGTCTAAGGTTTATACTTGGACCTTAGGCGGGAATTTATTGTGATATTCGGGATGAGACATTAGCCCCAAAAATTGCATCATGAACTCGCGATGGGTTGGATTTCGACAACTGAATGACTCCATGCGAAACGATGGGGTCGAGAAACTAGTGCGAAGCGGGGCCTGAATATTGGGTTCTTTTTACCGCTGTTTGGGAAAAGAGTAATCGTTGTGCGAGTGATTTGTTTTGTCAAATTTGGTGAAGAAGAGGTGAAGGAAGAAGAGCATCCTTGTCAGTTGTTAGAGAGAGATGCAAAACTCTAGCTTGCAATCGTTGTCCAGACCTACGATGATATCTTGACGCTAATGAGGGAAATAACTATTATGGAAGAAGAAATTGGTGAGGCAGGTCTGGAGCGGCTGCGGCCTAAACGGAGGAGGGTGGCGGCCATCGTTCGTCGGACTACCGGTCATGCGAAGAGGAAAGAGAAGAATGAGGTTGCACCGTATATGAGGAAAGAATGAGATGTAATATTTTTTCTTTAATTGACGTGTCATTAAATTAACGCTTAGTAAGCAGTTTCGTTTGCCATGCACAAAAAAAAACTAACGGTGTTAATGGAGTCTGACGACCGCGACTAATAAGAAAGAAAAGTAATTTTAATGTAAAACGATTTATCAAATTTGAGGGACAATTAGCCTCCGGTTATTTTTTCTTTCGTAAACTGGTCGGGTAGGCCGTACCCGCAATTAGGTGTGGAAATTGGGGTGGGTGTCGTTACCCGCCCCACATTTTGCGGGTAACCACACCCACAAATGTAGAATTATGCTATCCACAACCCGTCCCGCAGTGGGTAGTGGTTAACCACAACCCGCTGCGGGTTGGTGCTGGTTGGTTGTGGTCTGTGGATACCCACAATAATTTCATATGAAATGTAATAAGGGTTAATTGCATGGTTGATCACTGAGATTACAAAAAACGTTCAAGTTTGGTCACTTGAAATATTTAAATCCATTGGTGGTACTTTAGTTTACTGAAACCGTTCACGTTTGGTCACTCTCCGTCCAACTCCGTTAACTTTTGCTTACGTGGCGGTCAACTCTAAAAGTTGACTGTTAAATGTGTGACGTGGCAATATAAAAATAATTAAATAAATAAAATTTAATTTTTTAATATTTCCACCTCATTTCTAACTACTAAAAAATAAAATAATTAATTATTAAAATCAATAACAAACCGCGAATCCTCATTTCCACCATCGGCCGCACACCCCACGACGATGGCGCAATCCACGACGGAGACATGGAAGACCCGCCGAATTCCGCTCCCGCATTCTTCCTTGCCACGGGGAAACAACCATCAATACCTCCGCCGGTCGCCGCTCCGACCACTCTGTTTCCACGGGTCGCCGCTCCGACCACTCTGTTTCCAGATCGGACTTTCAATGTCACGAATCGGTCGGCATTGGCATCTCGACGACAACCTTCTCGTTCCAGCGAGGGTAGCTCCCGCCGTCGCGGTCCGGCTTGGTTGACCCAAAATTGATGAACGGGTCGTTTTCACGACGGCGAACCCGTTCTCCTTGTTCTCCATTTCTCTCTTTCTGTAGCTCTGTTCTCCCAAAGCTTTACACACACACACACAAAAAAAAAATGGCGACCCACTTCATCATCCCGATCAGGGACGTTCTCCAGGCAGTAGGGGACATAAAATCCTACGACAACTGGCTCGCCTGCCTGAAAACCTACCTCATATCCCAAGATCTCTGGGATTTAATCGACTCCCCTGAAATTACTTACTTCCTGCCACTGTTACTACCGACGCCGCCGGGCGGCGGAGGAAGAATGCGGCGGCTCTGCACGCGATTCAGATTTCGCTGGGCTGTGACGTGCTCCACGAGATACGGGAAATCAGCGCGGCGAAGGAGGCTTGAGACGCTCTGGCGGATATGCATTGGAAGAAGCTACTACCCAAGAACGACCCTGAAGCTGGAGCTGGAGCAGAGCAGCTGCAGTAGGCCGACGCTGGTAAATCTCGAACTGGCATATTTAATTAACTTCTTAAATTACCGCGGTTAATTTTTTCAGTGACATTCTTACATCCTCTTAATGCCTTTTCGCTAAGTGTACGTTTATACCATTTCATGGACTAAAATGTTTGTGTTAAGTATGAGAATTACAACAAAGTTGTCATAATCTAAGAGCAAAAAGGGTGATTATAATCAACCGGAGACAATGTTAGCGTATTAAGGGCCTAGAGCCTAGTGGCTGCCGATTATGTGATGATGACTTAGTGTGATAGATTACTTTAAGCCCATATTTAATTAGCCCATGCAGGCCCATGCAAGGTTGGGACGTAGATTGTGAATCCCAAACCTAGGGCACGTCTATGTATAGGGTTGAGAGAGTGCAGCCGATCTGTATCTTGTACATTCATTCATCATCATAGTAAAACAGCAGCCTGAAGAGTGTTCTAAGCTCTTCCGTGGATTAGTCCTGGATCACTTCCAGGGATACCACGTAAACTCTTGTGTCTGTGTCTGTTTCAATTTCGTATCGTATTAATCTGCTTCTGGTGGTTTCAACATGGTATCAGAGCTCACTGCGACTGATTCAGAGAGGCCAACTGTGCGCCTCACATCGACAAACTACGCGCTATGGGAATTTCAGTTTAGGGTTTTCGTTGAAGGAAAGGGATTATTGGGAATTTTGGAAGGAACTACTCTTCGACCTGATGAAGCTTCTGCTACTCCACAAGAAAAGGCGGCTTGGGACCAAAATGACGCACGCATCCGCTCCTAGGATCTGTTGATCCTTCAACCTGCCTTAGCCTCCGACTATTCCCTACAGCCAACATAATGTGGCGCCACCTATAGGGACTCTATTCCACTACCAGCGCGGCACGGCAATTTGAGGTGGAAATGGCACTCTCACGCTTGACCCAGGGAGACAAGGCAATCACTGAATATTTTAATTCAGCCCAGGAGTTATGGACAGAACAGGACATGCTCCATTTAGCACTGCAGCCAGGGGCTATGACGGACGAGATGATCGCGGAACGGCAGCAAACTCGAGTTATGCAGTTTCTCATGAGGTTGAGACCAGAATTTGAGAATATTCGAGCTAATATTCTGAATCGAGAACGGCTGTCATTTGATGGTGTGATCAGTAGTCTCGTACGCGAGGAGACTCGCCTGCGGACCCAAGCTTAGTTCGATATTCGGCCGGGTGAAGGAGAAACATTTGCTGCAAGCCGTGCTCACTTTGCAAGGTCAGGTATTGGTCAAAGCTCTCAAGCTCTTGCTGTCACACGCCCTCAATTCCAAAATAGAGTTCCTAATTCTGAGTTGGAGTGTCATCATTGCCATGAAAAGGGGCATTTGGTAAAACATTGCCGTAGAAGGAATTACTGTGTGTACTGCAAAAGAATGGGACATATTGTTTTAGAGTGTCGCACTCGAGAACGTAACGCAGAAAGGTATGTGAGCAATCCATCTTCGGCAGGAAGTGGGCGCGGGCAGCAAAATAGGACTTTTGGGCCTACTTATGCTATGGAAACAGGAGAATCTAGTGGAAATTCCTCTAGTGGTGTCTCGGCTGCTCAGCTGGAGCAACTAGTGCAGGCTGTGGCAGCTTTGCAGAACTCTCTTCCCACTGCCATAGGATCCGCACTATCGAATCTGCAAGGTAAGATAAAATCCAAACCTTGGTTGATCGATTCGGGTTGTTATAATCATATGACTAATGATAAGAACTCTCTTGGTAATATTAGATCAATTAGTCATGATGGTCTCACTATTGCTAATGGAGAAAAATTGGCAGTAACAGGAGTTGGTCGAGTAGATACTCCCAACATTTCATTGTCACGTACCTTACTTGTTCCTGATTTGGTCCCGAATTTAGTTTTAGTAGGACAACTTACCGAGCAGGGATGCTCTGTTATGTTTGCACCTTCTGGCTGTGTTATACAGGACTTGAAGACGGGGAGGCAGATCGGAAGGGGGAGTAAACAGGGGAGGATATTCCACTTGGAGGAGCTCCAAGACAGTTCAAGTTCAGTTCTTTCTTCGAGTCAGTCTGTGTCTAGGTCTGTCAGTAGCCCTGCTCAATTTTTTGACATTTCGTCTGGTGTTGGTCCAGTATTTTCTAGTTTATCGAATAAGGAGTGGGATCTTTGGCATGCTCGTCTGGGGCATCCCCACTCAGGTCGTCTTTCTGTCATGTTTAAACAATCTCTTTTAGGTCAGAATTGTGTTGGAATTCCTGCTGAACACTCTTGTACCAGTTGTGTGGAAGCAAAAACTACTACTAAATCTTTTCCTCCCAGCACTACTGTTATAAACGAGCCCTTTCACATTATTCATACTGATCTGTGGGGACCTGCTCCTACTGTCTCTCGTCTTGGTTTTCACTATTTTGCCTTGTTCATTGATCATGCTACCCGATATACCTGGATATATTTTCTCCGTCTAAAATCATATCTCCGTTCGGTGGCCATAGAGTTTCTAAACATGATCCAGACTCAATTAAACAAAACTGTCAAAATCATCCGTTCTGATCCTGGAGGAGAGTTTAGCTCAACTCCTTTGCATGATGTCTATCGTTCCCGAGGGATTCTTAGCCAAATGTCTTGTCCAGGGGTTTCACAACAAAATGGCCTAGTTGGACGGAAAAATAGACATGTTGTGGAACTTAATCGTGCTTTACTTCTTGATTCCTCCGTTCCTAGCCGGTTTTGGCCTGAGGCAGTGGTGACTGCAGTGAGACTCATCAATTATCAGATTACTCCTGTTTTACTGCAGAAGAGTCCTTACTACTGTCTCTATGGTCATCATCTTGATTATTCGCGGCTAAGAGTCTTCGGTTGTCTCTGCTTTGTTCTTCTTCCTATGCGTGAGCGTACTAAGTTGACATCTAAAACTGTTCGTTGTGTTTTCCTGGGGTACAGTAGTGTTCATAAAGGTTATCTTTATTTTGATCCAAGTGATCAACGTATGAGAATAGCAGCCACAGTTGTCTTTTTTGAACACCATCGTTATTTCCCTTCAAAATTGCCCACTGATATTGAATTTCATGGTGGAGCATCTTCGCTGCCCATTTTTGATGATGATCTGGACGATGAGCTTCCAATGTCCGATGATCCTACTGATTATCCTCCCTCTCCGGATCTGTCCTCCACCACGACCAGCTCGCAGTCATCACCATCCTCGGCTTCTACACCACCAACAGCCACGTCCTCACCAGAAATGCAGCTTCCTCCTCGCAAGTCAACCCGCTCAAACAAAGGTGTTCCTCCTCCTTATTTTGAAGACTATGTTGCTCATGGGGTAGATACCCTTGTCGTTCCTACTACTTTTAAACAGGCTCAAGGTAATCCTATATGGGATCGAGCAATGCAAGAGGAGTTTTGTGCTCTGGAGGCTAACCGCACATGGACAGTGGTTGATAGGCCAGTTCCATGCCCACCTACCATTGGATGTAGATGGGCATATGCTATCAAGGTCCTTCTCGATGGGACTATTGAACGAAACAAAGCTCGTCTCGTTGCACTTGGTTATACTCAGGAATATGGTGTGGATTACAACGAGACATTTGCTCCTATTGCTAAAATGTCCACAGTTCGGACATTACTTGCAGTAGCAGCTCTATATAATTGGCCTCTGTATCAGATGGACGTGAAGAATGCTTTCCTCCATGGGGACTTGGAGGAGGTGATCTACATGGAATGACCACCAGGTTACACAGTTGGACGTGAAGATCAAGTCTGCTTACTACATCGATCTCTTTATGGACTCAAACAGGCTCCACGAGCCTAGTTTGAGAAATTTCAAACTACTATTATTCAGTTGGGTTTTCAACAGAGTCTAAATGACCCATCTCTCTTCACCAAGGTATCCGATGCTGGGATAGTTGTTCTTCTGCTTTATGTTGATGACATGGTCACCACAGGATCAGATGCAAAGGGAATCTCTATGCCTAAAGATGGTTTGAAGAAAGCTTTCAAAATCAAGGATCTCGGCGATCTCTCTTACTTTCTTGGCCTGGAAGTCAGCCGAAATGATCAAGGTATTCTGCTCAGCCAGCGAAAATGTATCAGATTTATTAAGTGATCATAACTTTGAGAACTGCAAACCTGTGAAAACTCCTATGGAAATCAATTTGAAGATGCAGAAAGAATCTGGTGAACCTCTCAAAGATGGATCTCAATATCGCAGTATAGTGGGGAGTCTGATATATCTCTCTGCTACTCGCCCGGATATCTCATATGCTTTTCAGATGGTTAGTCAATACATGACTGCTCCCTGTGTTGATCATCTTGCTGCAGTTCACAGGATACTTCGCTATCTAAACGGTACTCAGGATGTGGGAATTTTGTTCCCTTCTACGGGATCTCCTAATATTACAGCATACTCAGATTCTGACTTTGCAGGATGCATAGATACTCGTCGATCCACCTCTGGGTGGTGTGTTCAGTTTGGTGGGGCATATATTTCCTGGCGACGCAAGAAGCAGGACAAAGTCTCCAAATCCTCAACTGAAGCAGAATATCGGGCTATGTCTGAAGTTAGCTCTGAAATGGTGTGGTTGCGACGACTTCTATCTGATTTTGGTGTTACTTGTCCTGCACCTCTGGCTTTACACGTCGACAACACCAGTGCTATTCGCATTGCTGTTAATCCTGTCCTCCACGACCGAACCAAGCATATTGAGATACATATGCATTATGATCGGGATCTTGTTCGAGATGGAACTATTAGTTTGCATCATATTCAGACAGAGGAACAAATTGCCGACCTGTTCACAAAGGCCTTTTCTACCAGCCGTCACTGGTATCTTGGTAACAAATTGATGCTACGGGATAGGCATCAATTTGGGGGAGGATGTTAGCGTATTAAGGGCCTAGAGCCTAGTGGCTGCCGATTATGTGATGATGACTTAGTGTGATAGATTACTTTAAGCCCATATTTAATTAGCCCATGCAGGCCCATGCAAGGTTGGGACGTAGATTGTGAATCCCAAACCTAGGGCACGTCTATGTATAGGGTTGAGAGAGTGCAGCCGATCTGTATCTTGTACATTCATTTATCATCATAGTAAAACAGCAGCCTGAAGAGCGTTCTAAGCTCTTCCGTGGATTAGTCCTGGATCACTTCCAGGGATACCACGTAAACTCATGTGTCTGTGTCTGTTTCAATTCCGTATCGTATTAATCTGCTTCTGGTGGTTTCAACAGACAAAGCATCGTAATCGGGTATATATAACTTAGTGAACTCGAGCGGCGGCCGTCATTAAGATTTTTCAGGTGAATATGTTAATTATATCTAAAACGCAGCGGTGGAGAAGAGAGGATTCGTGCTTTGTTATTAATTTTAATAATTAATTATTTTATTTTATTTTTTTAATAGTTAGAAATGAGGTGGAAATTTTAAAAAATTAAGTTTTATTTATTTAATTAATTTTATATTGCCACGTCACACATTTAACAGTCAACTTTTAGAGTTGACCGCCACGTAAGCAAAAGTTAACGGAGTTGGACGGAGAGTGACCAAACATGAACGGTTTCAGTAAACTGAAGTACCACTAATGGATTTAAATATTTCAAGTGACCAAACTTGAACGTTTTTTGTAATCTCAATGACCAATCATGTAATTAACCCAATATAATAATAATGTAATTAAATAGTGATGTCGTGTTTCTTCTCACACAAAAACAAAAACATACATAATAGTAGGGGTGGCTATACGGTCCGGTCCGGTTAAATTGGCCCAAATTGATTCGGTCCAGTCCGGTCTTTTTGAAAATATAAGGAACGAAGATTGGATTGGATCCGGTCCGGTCCGGTCCCAATTCGGTCTTGATTTTACATTGAGATTGTGGGATTTGAGTGGCCTAAGGCCTTAAAGGGTGAGGAGTTGGTTAAGTTTTGTACTAAGTGCAAAGGTTTGTGACCGTTTATGCAAATTACCCTTAAGTTTTGGGTGTTGAGCTCTCTTATCTGGTCTTTATCCGGTTTTTTACCTCAAATCTAAACCCAAAGATTGGATTGGATTGTTTACTATTCGGTCTCGGTCCGGGTTATACGGTCCGGTTTCCGGTTTTTAATCCGGTCCCGGTCAAAATAGCCACCCCTACATAATAGAAAGTTAATAAAGTGTTAAATAAATTATAAATCTCGAATACAATAGGTTTGTTAGTGTAAATTTAGAAGAGATGGATTTTGAAAGAGATTTGAAGATAGTGCAGAGGCAGAGTGACCTGTTACTAGACAAACATCGTTGCATGTCATGGCTCCTCCGATGGCAATAACAGAAAAACACAAAAGTGGCTTGATAAGTGGAGACTCCCGCTTTAATGATTTGCTTATTTTCCATTGTCGATTATAGTCTTGTATTGTTGGTAGTTGGTTGCATGTTGTGTTGTTCGTGAATTCGTGGAGAAATGGAGATTATTTTGGGTATCAGACTGACCTTTATCGATTATTCCTCTCTTTTAACAAATCGACTAATTTATCTGACTAAATCTATGGACTTGGTTTTGTTATACAATAAACATATATCACACAGACAATGCTTATTTGATAAAAATATCTCAAATGAATATAAGAATATTTCGCATTGACTTGGTTTTGTTTTATAGAATAAGTGCTTATTTGATTTTGGTAGCTACTTTAATTTTCAGTCTTCCAAGTTTGACAAACTAATATAACTAATGTGGTTAAAGTAAGTTACAAAATATTTGAAGAAATAAATATAACTAATATGGTTAATAAATCAATATTTTGCTACCCACACAATCCACTATTCACAGATTGTGGGTATTGGTACCCACAAAATGTGCGGTTTGATGCGATTTATGGGTTACCCGCAACCCAACCCGCAAACCAAACTTCCACCCCTACCCGCAGTGGCAACCGGCAACAACAAGCTCTCACAGTCTCAGTCGGGTTTTAAGGTTTAAGGGCTTCAAACTTTTAAACCCCCATCTCCGTCTCTGCCGGCAGCACCATCCGCCGCTGCCATGGCTCGGTTCCCCCGTGGATCCTCCGTTCCCCACCTCCTCTACTCCTTCTTCTACTCCTCCACGAAGTCCACTCGCCCGTCTCCTCACTCTCCGGCCTCTGCCTTGCTCTTAGGCAACTTTCACCTCCGTCAATTTTCCTCCAGCGCTGCCCGTGCCAAGGAAGATAAGGAGCCATGGTGGAAGGAATCCATGGAACGCCTCCGGAACATCGGTATCTCTGCTCACATCGACTCCGGAAAAACCACTCTCACCGAGCGCATCCTCTTCTACACCGGCCGGATTCACGAGATCCACGAGGTCCGTGGTCGTGATGGTGTCGGAGCTAAGATGGACTCAATGGACTTGGAAAGAGAGAAAGGCATCACAATTCAGTCAGCGGCTACTTACTGTACTTGGAACGGCTACCAGGTAATGCAAAATTTTCAGTAAGTTCTGTAATGTTTCCCCACCCTTTTCCGATTGATTGGAAGAAGCAAGATGAACTCTTTGTGATGGATTCAATGATGGAAATGGGATAGGTGAATATAATCGATACACCGGGCCATGTAGACTTCACTATTGAAGTGGAGAGAGCTTTGAGGGTGCTAGATGGTGCCATTCTTGTGCTGTGTAGTGTTGGAGGCGTGCAAAGTCAATCCATAACGGTTGATAGACAAATGAGGAGATATGAGGTGCCTCGTGTTGCGTTTATCAACAAGCTTGATCGTATGGGAGCAGATCCGTGGAAGGTTTTGAGCCAGGTACCTTAGAATTTGTTGCTTCAATTGATTTTCGTTCGAAATTTTTGTGTCAGTTAAGCTGATTTGTGACAAATGGAAGAGTTAGCCATTGATGAACAAGGACTATTCAGGAAGAAAGCCGGATGCCTCTTCTTGTAGTAGGTTATAAGTGTTAGTGAGAATTGCTTAAGAATTTTATTTTCTGTGCAGTTCATGCTTATTGCTGATTTTGGCGACTCTGTTGCTAAAAGACTCTTTTATGTCCAATTTAGGCAAGGGCTAAACTGAGGCATCACAGTGCAGCTGTTCAAGTTCCTATTGGGTTAGAGGAGGATTTTCAAGGCCTTATTGACCTAGTGCAAATGAAAGCTTTTTACTTCCGTGGATCCAGTGGGTCGGTATCTGAACTGTAATTATGATGTACTCTTAGTATCTACTTAGTATCCATCCTATTTATGCAATGATTCTTTCCCCATTATATTCTCTGTTATGCGTGTCAGTGAAAACGTTGTTGCTGAAGATATTCCTGCGGATATGGCAGCATTTGTTGAAGCTAAAAGGCGTGAACTTATTGAGACAGTCTCAGATGTCGACGATAAACTTGCTGATGTTTTTCTGTCAGATGAGCCTATTTCTGCCTCTGACCTTGAGGTATGCCTTAGATGAAAAACTGATATTGAAGATTAAAGAATTAGAGAAGGGAGGGGTTTATCTATCTTTGAGAGGCCATATCTTCACATTGCTGCTGTTTTTCTGTTTCCTTGGAGAAGGCAATTCCATAGTGGTAAAATTGCTCCATTCTTCACGAAGTCTGTATGCTAAGAGGAGAATGTTGAATTTCCGAATCTTAGTGATGATTCAGTCCGTACCTTTTGGTCCCTCCTAACTCTCATGTCTATGAATGTACTGTGACCATGTTCTTTTCTGTTGAGGAAATTTTCTGGCAATGTTTTCCTTCAACTTTAAGCTTCAATTTTCCTTCAAATTGAAGCTTCAACTTTCCTTCTCATCCTCCTCTTCTCTGTCTGAGCAGGAAGCAATACGCAGAGCTACTATAGCTCGGAAATTCATACCTGTTTTTATGGGCAGTGCGTTCAAGAACAAGGTGCTCATCTGGTATAAATTTATCTATGATTGTTATAATTTTTAATCATTGCTTCTGATTTCGTACCTTCTTTATCGTTTCTGAGCACAGGGAGTACAACCTCTTCTTAACGGCGTTCTTAGTTATTTGCCTTGTCCAATTGAAGTGAGCAATTATGCTCTTGACCAAACCAAGGACGAAGAGAAGGTACTTGGTTGCTTTTTATTTATTTATGGTATTTCCATTGTTCCCTAACGGACTTGGGAAACTCATTAAGGCATGGTGTTTAGGTTATGTTGGGAGGTAATCCCGAAGGACCACTTGTTGCATTAGCTTTCAAATTGGAGGAAGGTCGTTTTGGTCAGTTGACATACTTAAGGTATCACACAGTAGCCTTTGCATGAATGTCTCAACACACTCAATACCAGAGCTTGGATTTTTGGTCATTTAAGCTAATAGTGACATTTATAATTGAAGAGTCTATGAGGGTGTCATTCGCAAAGGTGATTTTGTCGTGAACATAAACACAGGAAAGAGGATCAAGGTGAGTTTCTACTTGTATACTATTATGTACATTTTTTATTGCTTCCTATATTTAGGCATGGCATGGAAGTCAACTTATTCTGGTATTTTATTTTGAAGAGGTTGTCTCCCATAGAATCTTGTCCTGGGAGGAAGAGTAACCATGAATCTGTATAATGATAACCTTTGTCAGTTGTATTGGAAAGATCACATTCTGACACACTATAGTACTTAGATAATTTGGCACTGGTGTTTTTAGTAAGAAAGTATCACATCTATATAAGATATCTCACGTTAATTTAAGTAAGAGTATCACATTGTCCAATCTCTTTAAAGGTTGAGTTAGTTTGATGGTTAGCATTGGAAGATGTCACACTACAAATCAACTATTGATCCCACCCCACCATATTATGAGCCATATATGAGCTGCTTGATTAGCTTCACACTTCCAGCATGCGGTGGTTTAAGTATCTTGGTACCAAATGTAACATCCTTTCAATTGGTTGCGGGCTAATAATGGTCCAATACCTTTTTGATATAGGTTCCTCGCTTGGTTAGAATGCATTCTGATGAGATGGAGGTCAGTTTATGCTATCTTTCTTAACAGTATGATAGTAGTATTGCTGTTTCGATGACTTGTGTTCTTGCATCAATATTTGATGATGCTTTCCCCACCTTTTCGGTTCCTATTAAACATTTTACAGGACATTCAAGAAGCACATGCTGGACAGATAGTTGCTGTGTTTGGTATGGATTGCGCTTCAGGTAACGTTCTTCCCTTTTAATGTTGTGTCTGGATTCCATAGTCATATGGAGCTTCTAATAGTGTTTGCTAAGAATGCCTTCCAAACATGGTCTCAATTGGGGGAAAAATGCATGAACTTCAGTGCCTTGGGATACCACATATCTTTAGATATTTGAATTCTCTTGCTATGGAACTGATGAGTGACAGGCTGACAGCATGCTTTGTCATTTTTGCTCCTCTCAGCTAACATGTACATAAACTTTTTTGTTGGCTATATAGGTGACACTTTCACTGATGGATCCGTAAAATACACTATGACATCTATGAATGTACCTGAGCCTGTGATGTCCTTAGCTGTTCAACCAGTTTCAAAAGATTCTGGGGGACAAGTGAGTAATTCCTGATGAAATTAAGTTCCTGTTGACTGATTCTGCTCTGGGATTTAGACTTAAATGCTTCCTTTTTTCCCCACTCTACAGTTCTCAAAAGCTTTGAACCGCTTCCAGAGAGAGGATCCCACTTTCCGTGTTGGATTGGATCCTGAGAGTGGTCAGGTGTGTGTCATAACTCTTGCTTCATTCATTATTTCTTTGAGCAGATGAGTAATGCTGATAATTTACTTATGTGTAGACTATAATTTCTGGAATGGGGGAACTACATTTGGACATTTACGTCGAACGCATTCGGAGAGAATACAAGGCAATGACAATCCATTGTTTCTCCTTGTGTTATTTCATTTTCTTTGGATAGTATTGAGAAGTCTGATCCTTTCCAATATTTGTTTCCTGGCAACTGTTGATGCAACAGGTTGATGCAACCATCGGTAAACCGCGTGTGAACTTCAGAGAAACTATAACTCAACGCGCAGAATTCGATTATTTACACAAGAAGCAAAGTGGAGGACAAGGTCAATATGGTAGAGTAACCGGGTAAGCACTTTATCTCTCCTTTGGTTAAAATAGCTAATATAGACAAGGATACTGAGCAAATTAATACACTTAACATGAATTACCTTTTCTGTTTATGAATTGTTAACTAGGTGATGTTTTAGTTGTCTTGCTTTACTTTATTCCTTGTTACTTGTTATACACACCATCTCTAGTCGAAGTGGCATATTATGGAACCTTTATTTTCCAATGGCAACTTTTAGATTCATTTTATTCTGTTTTCGTTCATTATCGCTTTAGGGTTTTGTTTATGAATTTTGAAGTGGGAAATTGAGCATAAATCATCCGGTGATTGCAGTTTGGATGCAGTTTGTAAGTTTATTGGAGCATTTTATCTTATGAAATATTATCAGTGGGTGCAGTTTTTATTCTCATTAAGTGCAGGCGTTCTCTAATAGACATTGATGTTTTACTGTTTAGGAATATGCCTTATGGCAGATAGTAGAATTCAACAATGTGCATGTGAATTATGTTGATTGTATTGCGGCATCTGGGCTGTTAGTAGTTATTATCTGAACAAACTCGTTAGTTTAATGGTCAATTCCGTTTTCTTTGTAGTTCATGAACAAGGACTTCAATTTTTTTTGTTAGAGTACATATAATCATATTTGATTTTTTGGGATTCCCCTATTGACAGGTATGTGGAGCCAATTCCTCTAGGCGAAGCAACCAAGTTTGAGTTTGAGAACATGATTGTGGGACAAGCCATACCATCAAATTTCATTCCTGCTATCGAGAAGGGTTTTAGAGAAGCAGCTAACTCGTGAGTGCTGGACCACAAATCGTCATCTTGGATTCTTCTACTTTCATATGTGATGAATAATCAATTGATCCTTTGCATGTCCATTCTTTAGGGGTTCCCTGATCGGGCATCCAGTTGAAAACCTCCGGATAGTTTTAACGGATGGTGCTTCCCATGCTGTTGATTCTAGTGAACTCGCATTTAAACTGGCGGCAATATACGCTTTCAGACAGGTTTTCTCTCTCTTTCCTTTGTTGTTGCTTCCTTTGATACGCTTCTTGATGGAACACCAATTTTCGGATTCTATCATAGTTACTATTATTAAGATTTATTTAGATATGGTTAGTAGTCTTTGAGTCATATTAGGATAGTCGATAAGGTTTTTCCAGTATTTAGCTATAAATAAGTATTATGGGTCTTTAGGTTCAATTAAGCAGAAATCAGTTAAAGAATTATCTTCCCCAAACCCTAAGCTCTCCCTATCTCCTAATTTCTCTTCTTGCCTAGTCCAAGACTTCGGCCGATTCTTTATTATGTTCTTCTCCTCCTAATCTCAATCCCTAATTCTGTTCGTATAAACCCTAATTCCCAAATATTGAACCTAAGCAGAAATCAGTTAAAGAATTATCTTCTCCAAACCCTAAGCTCTCCCTATCTCCTAATTTCTCTTCTTGCCTAGTCCAAGGCTTCGGCCGATTCTTTATTCTGTTCTTCCTCTCCTAATCTCAATCCCTAATTCTGTTCGTATAAACCCTAATTCCCAAATATCAAATCCGATAGAACCTTTCTTCTATCATTTGGTATCAGAGCCAACATGAGCTCGTTACAGCTCTCTGATCTAGAGTGGGCTCAAATAAACCAACAGCTACAGCAAGCAATCGATGCGCTTGATCGAATGGCGCTGGCGCGACAGCAGCCGAGGCGGCGGCCGAGGGCGCTGCTGCAGGGGAACACCGCGCGGCTGAGGCAGAACAGAAGGCGGCGCAGGCGCGTCGCGCCGACGTGGAGGAGCGCGCTGCCGGGGCGCGGGCAGGCGATGCGGCGGCGGCAGCGCGGATCGCGAAAGATGATGGAGCAGAGGAGCGACCGGCGAACGGGGAAAGGAAGGAGGGTGACGCCTCCCTGCTACGCACCAACCCTTGGCCTTCTGATGGGCCAAGAAGTGCGGCCCGGTTCGAGGAGAAAAAACAAGGAGGCTTGGATCTGTGGTTGGGCCAATCCGACCAGTCTGAGGCTTGGGCTTTGGATGGGCCCGTCTCTATTTATAGGCCAAGTTTTCAGAGAGACTTTGGGCTTCAAATGGGCTGTTTGAGTATATCTGATTTGAAGAATGTGGGCCCAAATGGTTGGCTAGACAATTTCTTGGGATTTGCAAGTGGGCTCGCAGAAGAATATGAACCAAACCCAATTGGGGAAGTAACAAGACAAGTTTTTCCAAGAAAAATGTTTGAAGTTCTCAATGAGTTGGTACTTAAGGATGAATTTTTAAAAGAATCTTTGAATTTCTTAAGTAGTTGGAATGTGGAGCCAAAGAAAGGAGCTATTGAAGTTTGAGTTTGCCAAGGAAGTAAAGAGTGGGCCCATGGGGCTCGCAGAAGAATATGAACCAAACCCAATTGGGGAAGTAACAATACAAGTTTTTCCAAGAAAAATGTTTGAAGTTCTCAATGAGTTGGTACTTAAAGGATGGATTTTTAAAAGAATCTTTGAATTTCTTAAGTAGCTGGAATGTGGAGCCAAAGAAATGTGGAGCCAAAGAAAGGAGCTATTGAAGTTTGAGTTTGCCAAGGAAGTAAAGAGTGGGCCCATGGAAATGAAATTCGAGGTGTGCGACCAACAGGAGGAGATCAGTGCCAAAGACCCTAGTGACGAGTTAGAGTATGATTGGAGGAAAAGGAAGCGCAAGAAATGGATTGGTCAAGGCTCGGTTTGCATGGACGACATAGAGAAGCGGGTCGGGTCGGTCAACCTTGAGGCCAAGGTTGGTTTCAAGTTTCCAGTATTTAGCTATAAATAGGTATTATGGGTCTTTAGGTTCAATTAAGCAGAAATCAGTTAAAGAATTATCTTCCCCAAACCCTAAGCTCTCCCTATCTCCTAATTTCTCTTCTTGCCTAGTCCAATGCTTCGGCCGATTCTTTATTCTGTTCTTCCTCTCCTAATCTCAATCCCTAATTCTGTTCGTATAAACCCTAATTCCCAAATATCAAATCCGATAGAACCTTTCTTCTATCACTTCTACTGTGGACCAGAATTTTCACCTGTCTTTTTTCTCCTTTACTGCGAAACAGTTGTATACAGCTGCAAAACCTGTGATTTTGGAACCTGTTATGTTGGTGGAGCTGAAAGTGCCATCAGAGTTTCAGGGAACTGTTGCTGGTGATATCAACAAGTGCGTATGCTCTCTCTCTGTCACTCACTCCACACTTCTTTGCCTTCGTTCTTTTAATATCTGTTCTCTTCTTAGTTCTTACCACACTAATACTATGACAGGAGGAAAGGTGTCATCGTTGGTAACGATCAGGATGGAGATGACTCCATAATAACCGCCCATGTAAGACCTCTGTCCCTGTTCTCTTGTTAACCTGATTAATAACGTGTTCCCATGCTCCATATTCTTTCTTTGTCAACTGAATTCGGATAACTCTCATTCGACAATCTCAGGTTCCTCTGAACAACATGTTCGGGTACTCCACTTCTCTTCGTTCTATGACCCAGGTTAGTCATTGGAGATTTTTAGAATCCGTATGTACTGACGCGAGGAATGTCTGCAAATACATCTGACACTCAGTAATGACTTTGATGCTGTTGTGGATGTAATGATGCAGGGTAAAGGTGAGTTCACAATGGAGTACAAAGAACATCTGCCTGTGTCTCAGGACGTGCAGGTGCAACTGGTGAATGCTTACAAAGCCAGCAGGGGAACTGAATAAGATAGGAACAGGAGTGCCGCTCAAGAGGGACAAAATCAAACCCACTATATTCTTTTATATACGATGAGTTTTGATCTTAGTCGAAGTTTGATTTTCTAGCTCTTCATTGTATTCTTCATATAGGGGCATAAGTATGTGATCCAATCAATTTTGGCGACTAATAGAATAAGCTTTATTATTCTTGATTACAGTGTGTATAACAACAAAAAAGTTGGATGAATTTTAATTTTATAGAAGATATATTCCTTTCTAAAATGGTATAATAAAATAACGAGCATTGTATATGTGAATAGGATTTTATATTGATGTTGAGCTAATTATCTCATTATCTTCCTATATTGATCATCAGAGATTCAGAATGGACCCTCTTCATAGCTAGTATCTCAGATCAATGGGCATTAATTTACACTCAATTGTACAAATAAAGATGAACAAGAACTTTTCTTATATTGTGTGTTCCTCTCTTCTCTTCTGCATTTGTTAATATTTTCATTTATTTCTTAATAAGTTATTGGGTATGAAGCTCTGTCAAATGCTCCATCAATGACATGATGGTTCAATGTCTCTGCATAATCTATTGCGTTGGTTTATGGTCATTCCTTTCGTAATACCAATGCTCGAGACATATCAATTTTTTTAAATATCAATATGCTCGGCTAGAAGGAGGGAAGTACACTGATTGACTTTTTCAAAACCTAGTCCTAATTTCGGATAAAGACCCAAAGCGGGCTACGGATATATACCAAGCCCGTTACGTCATAATTCATGTCTTTCTCGTACTGTGTAAACGAACTTCAAATCTTAATTGTGTACTCAACAGCAAGCGTCACAGATGTCGATATGCAGTAATAGTTATCAAAAGTAGTTTCTCGAGGTAGGTTCTATTTAAACCGTCAGTTTTTTTTTGTCGAGATTGGCTTGGTGTTTAGTCTATCGGGTAGAAGATCGAAAATAATTTTTTCAATTCCTCTTCTTTCAATCGAGCAACTTCATTAAAAAAAAAAAAAGTAAGTAGGATAATAATGGAATACCCCTAGGTGGCTTGGATGTCGGCGTATAGGTGCAAGGATGGAAATATGTGGTCTATGTGGATTTCTCCTAGTAGCTCTTGGGCTTGGGCCTTGGCTTCGCATTCTCAAGCTTCGTGCTCAAATACAACCACATCTAGACAAGCAAGGAGATGTGGCTACTTGGCTGGGTAAGTTTATGGCTTTTTACTCTGTTAGTCTAGTCTGGGATACGCTACGTCCTAGTTGCAGCAAGGTGCTCTGGTCGTCTCTTCTATGAGGCAAGTTCGCAATTCCTCGTTGGAGTGTTATTGCTTGGATTATGATTCAAGATGCAATGGTCACTAAAGAAACGCTAATGAAGTGGGGGAAGTTGAATGAAAAGTGCTTGTGTGTTGTGTTCCAGTGGTAGTGAAAACCGAAGTCATCTTTTCTTTGGTTGTCGGTATTCGAGAGCTGTTGTTACTTAGTTGGGTAATACATTTGGTAGTAGTACATGGAAGCTCAGGTTGTCTGATGCAGGTGCATTGGTGCGTCGTCCTGCAACAATGGTGGGTTGTGGCTCAACAATAGTGCGTTGTCCTCCAACGCTCTCCTTTGGTGCTCGTCGATCTATTTCATCAGATAGGAGAGATGTCAAAGACTTCATGGAGAAAGTCCCAGGTCTACTGAGATAGTAGCAGACTTATGGATGCAGGAGTTAAAGTTTGTACTACATAGTTTCCCTGTTTTGATAGCGGATTGTCAGAGTTTATAGTTACTGTTTGAGCCACAACCCACCAGTCTCGCCTATCCGGAACTTATGGGAACTAACCACCGTTGAGGCGCCAGACCCTTCACAAATAAGCGCCTAGAGGGCCTCTCGGTGCTCGTTAGCACTCCAATGCTCAAGTCAGTGCAAATTTTAGAGAGATAAGTGCTGAGAGAGATTTTAGTGAGAGAAGCCAACCTTTGTAAATGCCACCTACCGAGCACTATTTATAGTCGTCGAAGCTCCAACCGTCCTCCTGGCATTCAGCTCGATGTCACCACCTCATTTAATGCTTGGTACGGTACAATGGTCAGGCGCCTGTACGTGGCAGCTCCAGGATGTCCCAAAAAGGCGCCTAGCAGGGACCACGCCCGCCAGGTGGCTCCTTCTCGGTTTTCCTACTCCGTACCGTTTGTCCTCTCCTCTTTTTTGTCGTCATGCGCCTACTCCTCCAAATGTAACCCTAATTCACTTACTTGGGCCTGCCTCCTCATTCCACCTCATGGACTTGGGCCTGACCAATCTCATGTCCCCCTGGGGACTGTTCATGGTAGCCCACAATTGTCCCCCAGTTAGGCGCTCATGGCTTGTAATGAGCGTCTAACTATGTAAAGTATCGGGATAATCTCTTCGATGACGATTCCTCTGTCTAGCCTTTAATAACGTTCTCTAAGTCACTTACTTGGGCATGCCTCCTCATTCCGTCTCATGGGCTTGGGCCTGACCAATCTCATGTCCCCCTGGAGCCTGTTCATGCTAGCACAACAATTGTCCCTCAGTTAGGCGCTCATCGCTTTCAATGAGCGCCTAACTATGTGAAGTACTGGGATGATCTCTTCGATGAAGATTCCTCTGTCTAGCCTTTAATAATGTTCTCTAAGTCACGCGCCACCATTTCTTGCTCATACATAGGCGCCTAAGCTGATGGCCCCTACGTTCGATCCCACCTGAATCATTACCCTAGGCGAGTGTTTCGCTCTTCCGGGGAAATCGAGGCGCCTAACCTTCTGCAAACACCTACTTCCGCCCCCCTTTCACCGTGCGCCTTAAAATTTGAATTTCTATTAATTTAGGATTTTGAATTTTGAAATTCAAATTTTTAATGGACGGTGAGGATGAAATCTAAGGGCCGGGCGCACATCCCCATTTTTGCCCGTTGGGCTTCTCTCCTATAAATACCAACATCCGCCCCCATTCTTCCTCATTTGCATCGAAATTTTCTCTCTCTAACCTTCTCTCTCTATCACGCGTCACCTGTGCGCCTTCTCCCCCTCATTCGAGCCGCGTGTGCGCCTGATCTCCCAAAACAACTAAACCAACTAATGTCTCCCAAGACGAATTCGGGCGCCTCCTCCGCCGACGCGGCAAAGGGCAAGAACTCGGTGCCTGATGTCATAAAAGAGCTAGAGAAGCATTTTTCGCCAGATCCTAACCGTGAGTCCGATGGATGGACGCCTAGGGGGGAGAATAAGGCGCCTGCCAAGGGTGGTTCGTCAGCGGCGGCGCCTAGCATCTCTCAAGGGTCATCCGCGGGAGGGGCAGCTGAAGCAGCGACGCCTCCGAACCCTAACCCAAGTAAGTGTTCGACTAACTCACTCACTTTTTTTCGTTTTTGTTTTTGTTTTTTTTGGTAGGCGCCCCTAGTTGTCTAGGATTTAGCATTGATGTTGCCCCGTTTGCATAGAAAATTATAGGCGATGCGCCTGGATCCCCGCAATCCTCTGGGTTGGTGATGTCCCCGATGTCATTAGATTCAGGCACCCCGGAGGAAGGATCCGTGAAGATAAGGAGATGGGTGGATACTTGACCATCGGGGCAAGCGCCTCTTGAAACTTGTCATTTAACCGTAGTTGAAACGGGGCCTTTGCATGTTTCTACCGTGAAAGCCACTGAAGTAGAAAACCTGGCCATGTCTTTGCAACTCCCCCGCTCATGGTCCTTTGCGCCTGCGCCGCGCATAGCAAGAATTGGCGTTGTTGGACCCCGTTGGTTGGGGATTTACCGAGAATACTTTCGTTTTGGGCTTCGCTTCCCCCTAGATTCGATCCTCGAAGTCATCGAGTCGACGTGCAAATGCTCCATTGGGCGCCTGTTGTACACGCTAAAACACAACACCAAACTGCGACCAAGTGTAATCGCAGTCCTGAAATGCAGTAAAGTGGCATGTTCTAATTATCAACCCGGGGTCTAGATCTACTGCCTACTTCCGTGAATATCTATTATCTAGCCAATTAAGTCGATTGATTGTGGTTTTAACTAAAAGCAATAAGAAAACAGGAAATGGTTCGGTTTTCTAAAGAAAGGAAGAGTCACTCAGGAATGAGTACCCCTAACTCCTTAGTTAGGTCTCAGTTGTAATTACCCTGGGTTGATTTACTGTTGATTAAACTGCGGAAGATCCGACAGTAGCTTGGAATCTCTTAAGCTGACCAAGCCCTCTCAGTCCAACTACCCGGCAGACGACTAGTCTTCACCGGGATAGAACGCTGAGGCAATGAACACATAACTCCACTACTGGAATTGGATTCCAGTACAAAGCAGTAGATTGATTAACTCTCGTATAACCAATCTACCACTACCGAGTGATGAAGCTCTAACAACCTAATCAGATTCTATCTATCTCAGGTTGCAGCAGAAATCAAGAAAAGATGATCAGACTTCAATTGATTCAATGAATCATGCATCATTCGATTAAACCAAACAATATAACAATCCCAATCATTACAATCAAGATCCCTAACATGTGGAACTAGGGTTCTTCATACCCAAGTGAGAGAGGGTTCTACTCCATAGAGAGAGAGATGAAAACAGCAAACAAAGCAGTCATACTCATCAAGATGGGAAGAATCTGCTATGGGATGTCAATCTTCACTCCAAGGATGATTTCCAAGCTTGATTGATGAAATCCAGCTCCAAAACCACTCTTAGGAGGTGTTCTTCGCACTTTCTCTCTATAGGGCTTTGTTTTTGCTCATAAAAGTCGATTTCTTTTTTCCTTTGGCTCGAATTTGGGTTAAAACCCAGAAATTCCCGACCACACGGGCATGCCACACAGCCGTGTGGCTTTCCCAGCTGCCCATGTGAGTTGTGCAAAACACGGCGTTTCGATAAGTGGACTTCAGCCATCCTACCCGGCTACAACCACACGGCCGTGTGGATTTCCAGGATGCCCGTCTGAGTTCCCTGGAATTTCCACACGTCTACATGGGTTCCCTTACACGGCCGTGTGAGTTTTAAGCCAT